CAGGTACTCACTCACACACTCTCACTTACCCCCATGGGAGAAATAAAGAGAGTTTCTCTTGCCACTAAGCTGTGGCACCTTGGGGAAGTGTTGTGGGGTAAAGTGAAACTGTTATTACCCTCTTCAATGTGTCTATTTTTACTTCAAAGGTGTGCCGGAACTTTGTTAGACTCCTGGACTTCCAGAAAAGACTTTTGTTCATGGGTGGTTGTCAAAATCAATGTCCTATGGGGTAAGGGGATGATTGTAGAAAACTCCTATTCTACCACGTTGCTGATGTCACTCTGAGAATTTTATTTACAAAGCTAAATGTAAAAAATGGCAGGAGCTCCTTCTTTTTAAGGCTGAATAATATTCCATTGTGTGTATATACCATATTTTCTTTATCCATGTATCTGTCGATGGACATTTGGGTTGTTTCTTAACATGGCTATTGGGAATAGTGCTGCAACGAACATGAGAATGCAGATATCTCATCCTTTCAGTTCTTTGGGGTATATTTCCATAAATGGGATTATATTGTAGTTACATTTTTAATTTTGGGAGGAATCTCCCCTGCTGTTTTCAATATAGGCTATACCATTTTAATTCCCACAGTGTAGAAGAGTTCCAATTCTCCACATCCTCAACACTTGTTATCTCCTGGGTTGTTGTTGTTGTTTTTAATAATAGCCATCCTACTGGTGTGAATTGATATCTTATTGTGGTTTTGATTTGCATTTCAGTGATCAGGGATGTTGAGCATCTTCTCATAAACCTGTTGGACATTTGTATATCTTCTTTGGGAAGTGTCTGTTCAAGTCCTGTGCCCATTTTAAAATCAGGTTGTTGTGTTGGCTTTTGCCTTTGGATTTTATGTTTTTATATTTTATACATCAACCCCTTATCAGATATATGCTCTCCATAGATTTTCTCCCATTCCACAGATTGCCTTCTCATTCTTTTGATTGTTTCCTTTGCTGTGTGGAAGCTTTTTAGTTTGTTGTCATCCCACTTGTCTACTTTCACTTTTGTCAATTGTGCTTTTGTTGTCATATCCAAGAAATCACTGCCAAGGCCAATGTAAAGAAGTTTTTCCCTATGTTTTCTTCTAGGAGTTTTATGGTTTCAGGTTTAATATTTAAGTCTTTAATCTATTTGAATTTATTTTTGTGAGTGTTGTAAGATAAGGTCCAATTTCATTCTTTAGCATGTTGAGGACTTTATGCTAAGTGAAATAAGCCAGTCACAGGACAGAAATGGCATGATTCTACTTAAATGAGTTACCTAATTAATTTCAAATTCATCAGAGCAGAGAATAGAACGGTGATTACCAGGAGCCGGGGGAAGGGGGAAATGGAGAGTTGTTCAATTGGTGTAAAGTTTCAGTTATGCAAGGTAAATTAGTTCTCAAGGTCTGCTGTAGAGCATAGTGCCTAAAATCAACAATACAGTATTATATAGTCAAAAGTTTGCTGAGAGGGTAGATCTCAAGTCACCACCAAAAAAAAAAAAAAAAAAAACCATAATAAAAAAAAAGAGAAGAAAATTTTTAGAGGCGTTAGATATGTCTGTTACCTTGATTGTTGTGATGGTTTTATAGGTGTATGCACATGTCTAAACTCATTAAATTGTATAGATTAAATATCTGCAGTTTTTGTGTGTCAATTATACCTCAAGAAAGCTGAGAGCGAGAGCTAAATGTGACATGCAAGGGCTTCTCCTGGCCAAACAGGGATATTGTTTGTGGCACCTATGCTAAGGCTGAAGGTTGCTCTCTGTCCTGAGGAAAAGTTGCACCAACTCTGGACCCCAGAAGTCTCTTTCTCTGGTAAATACCAGACCATGATCACTGTGGATTTCACCCCTGACTAACCCTTTTACCACATCCATATTATCTTATTGATAGTACATAATCTTATTAAGATACAACTTTATTCCCTAGAATGGCTCTGTCCAAATCAGGTGTAAGAAACCTGTTCACCAAGATGTCCCACACCAGCTTCTTACCATGCCTTCCAGTTTGCCTATAGATGTTGAGGCCAGTCTTCCAAGCCCTTTATGTCTGCAACTATCAAGGCTGACAGAGTATATTTCTTGTATTTTTCTCCTTCACCACTGTTGAATTACCTGAATCTCACTGTACTCTTTGACCTTAAGACTCCCATTGAAACAGCAATTACAGTTGCCACCTGATCAGTCTGGGTCCAATAAGGAGACAGAAACCACACAGTGATTAAAATGGAAATTTAATATACAAATTATTAAACTTTAAAAAAGTAACAGTACAACATTTTAAAACTCTATGTGGTACAATACTGAGAGTATCCAAGGAAAGACCAACTTGGACAAACATCAGACTTTATGAAGAAAATACGGCTGTAGCCCACTGGATGGCAGAGAAGTTTTCTGTTTTGTCTGAGTCAGAGGTGGTCCCTGGTTGCTGGTCAAGTGCGTGGTTTGTAGGCAAGTTGCAACGGGTGTTGGGATGCATGGGCATGCAGAATGAGGAAGGGTGCAGATGTCATCCATTGGGGGAACAGATGAGCCACAGTCAGTGGCCAGGTACACGGATGTGTAAAGGGAATGGGTGTGCCTGTGGGTAGAAGACCTAGAATGTGCAAAGTCCACATCCAGAGGTCCATGGGAATGTGATCAACAGGCTAGAGCTGCAGGATCATCAAGGGACTGTGCATTCTGGATGTTTGGCTAGTGCAGAGTAGGACCAGATGTCCTCACTTCCACACTGCTGACCAATCATGCAGCTGCTACAGACATCAGGAGATCCTTCCCTCCTGCAATCTCCCTCCAAAACCCTCTGCTGAGAAAGTTTAACATTGTGTTTACTGCAAAGGAGAAATGCTCAAAGAAATTTCTTTCATTATTATAGAGTGTGTATCAAAGGGTGAATTTGGAACTTAAAGGCAATAACTTGCCCCTAGACTGAACTGCAATCATTGCCACTTCCAAAGTCCCAGCTACCGGTCTGTAAAAGTTGGGTTACATAGGAAGACATACAGAATGAGGGTCAGTAAGCCAAGGATTGTAAAACATGGAATAATCAGCACAGAAACACAAAGGAAGGCCACATAGTGAGAGGAGAGCTGGCTTTCCCACAGTCCATTTACAGTAATTGCTCATGCAAGGAGCTATACTACAGCAGCCACCTGGTGATAGGTCAAGCCCATTGCCTTCCATCTCTGGCAGCAACTTTCTAAAGCAAAACCTCACAATCTTCCACCAGGACTTGCTTTCTCCCAAACAACCTACCCTTCTCCACCATGAGCTCTACTCACAACCCATTAGGGAAAAACATCATATTAAGGATTGCTGAATGCCTAGTGACAAAATTGTTATCACAAGCATCTGAATATAGAGAAAGGAAAATAATTTTGGAAAAGCATTTCCTACATTATGCATATCCCCACTTGGATTAAACAGTCCAAACAACCCTTGAAACAACACTGAGAAGTGAAGTGTAGAGTGGTGGAGGGGACCACTCCCAGTACTACTCTGTGCTGTAAAACTTGGGTATCAAGTCAGGGGTCATCTGTAATGATCTTTTACAACATGATTTTTTTCTCCAAACTGTATGTGGAAATTTTTACATCATTTTTAATGGTGATATTTTGTTTCATTACATGTAAGTACCATAATTTATTCAATCTCTTACATATCTTCAGGTTGTTTACAACTTTTATTATTGTAAATATTCTTGGAATATATTCCCTTCTGAAACCATCTTTCCCCACTTGTGCAATTATACTGTAAAGATAAATTCTGAGAAGTGGAATTATTAATTCAAAGATAATGCACTTTATATGCTTTGATACATATCGACAAATTTCTCTCCAGAAATGTTGCACCTGTATTTTTTCACACCAACCACTGGTTTTTCCATTCCCTTACTGACACTGGGTTTTATTAATGTTTCACTGTTGTTCACCTGGATCGGTAAGAAAGCAACATTTTAGGGATGGTTTTATTTGATTTTGAATGGCTGTTCCATATATAAACCATAACTCGTAGGAAATTATAATGTAAGAAAAACTAGGAAGAAAAGATGATCTAAATGAAGAAGCCTATTGGTCAACTAAGATACCAACAAAAGACATTATTTGTGAAGATGAAAAAAGATATTGTGAATATAAACCATCTATAATCCCAAATTAAATCACAATTATGGAAGGAACTTGACAAAATGAGCACCTTCTAAAACCCCATTTTTATAGGGGTGCCTGGCTGGTTCAGTTGGTTGGGCGACTGCCTTCGGCTCAGGTCATGATCCTGGAGTCCCAGGATCAAGTCCCGCATTGTGCTCCCTGCTTAGTGTGGAGTCTGCTTCTCCATCTGACCCTCGCCCCTCTCATGTGTTCTCTCTATCTCTCATGCTCTCCCTCTCAAATAAAATCTTTTAAAAAATAAAACCCCATTTTTATTAAACAAGATTGTTGAGAAGTGGTGGTGCCAGCTTCTGACAATGAACACTCATGGTCTTCTGTCAGTTGTTAGCCACTTCATTAAAGATTAGTTTTACTTAATTCACTTTATTAAGACTATCTGCAGGACATCTAGTCTAGTTAATTTCTTATTGACAAATTTTTCCCATTATTACACCTTACAGAGTTTATCTATTGCATGGGATTTATGTCTACAGATTGCACTTTTGCTACAGTTTTACCACCTGTGCATTATCTGGAACATTTCTTTTTTATGCACAGACCAACGAATGAAGATTCTCACTGAAGAAGTTCTAGCCACACCATTTTAGATAGCTTCACTGCCACATATAGCCTTAACGACTGAAAAGTTTTGAACTCAATTATAAAGTTGCTTTCTTATGTGAACTCCAATGACCGTGAAATATGTTGCTGTTAAATCCCTCTGTCATAGTTGGCATAGCCTGGGCAATACTAGCAACAAATAAACTGCCAAAATATCAGTAGTATAACACAATAAATATTTATTTCTTACTCAAGAAAAACAAAGTCCCACACAGGTCAGATAGCCACCTTTTATCAGTCCAGCCTCCAAGGTTACCATGACAGGAAAGACGGCCGGAGGACATCACAAGATGTTTCTAAGGGCCAGGCCTGGAAGTAGCTTATATTACTTTTGCTCATACTCTGTTGCTTGGCACTCTATCACATGGACCAGCTCTTAACTGCAAGGGTTTCTGGGAAATGGGAGTCTCTATGTGACCCAAGAAATAGAACCACCAAGATAAACACACAGCCATGCCCATAAAATATCACTTTTATAGAGCTTCTCCCTGTGTAGAAAATCTAATGGATTTGAAAACCCGAGAATGGACTAACATTCTTACCACACTAATAACATGGGTTTCATTTCTGAGCACTCTTTTGAATATCTTTCTAGTGGGTACTCTCTTTAAAAAATCTACAGATTTTGGCGAGGATCCATGGCGGCTTTGGTTGCTGTTTGCGGTGATCTAGGGAGGAAAAAGTTAACGCATTTCGTAAAGGCTGCTCTCTGCCTCACGGATCCTGGGACTCACGCGGTGCTGTGGAGGAGTTGTTCACAATATAAGCACGTAGCCGGCAATGAGGACCTGCCCGTTCCAATGGAAAATCCTTATAAGGAGCCTTTTAAAAAAAAAAATGTATCTTGTGTGGAAAACGTGTAGATTATAAGAATGTACAGCTTTTGTCCCAGTTTATTTCTCCATTTACTGGATGCATTTATGGAAGGCACATAACAGGTCTTTGTGGGAAGAAACAGAAAGAAATCACAAAAGCAATTAAGAGAGCTCAAATAATGGGGTTTATGCCAGTTACGTACAAGGATCCTGCATATCTCAAAGACCCTAAAGTTTGTAACATCAAGTATCGGGAATAAATTGTAGGAGTCTTCACATCCATCAATAAACATATTTTACAATAAAAAAAAATCTACAGATTTTGGCTGGCCTGAAGTCTTCACTTGTACCCATCTCAATTATAATTTCCTTCCTGGGCATATCCGTTCACGGAAATTTGATCTCCAATTATTGTTATTGCCACAAACCGTCCATCTGTCAATTATCACTACTTTGCCACTGCAGCATATGACAGTTGATGGGAGTTTTGCAGAAGTTCTTGAGATCCACAGTAGGTTCCTGGAATGCTCTTAAGAACCCTTGCTTCAGAGCTGCAGGGTGACATGATGGGTGGCAGCGGCCTTGTCCTTTGCTGCCCCAGCCCTCCCAATGACTGAGTAAGCCTCTATCACCTGGAATACATAGACTTGCTTGCTTTCCTGATTGGCCCCTTTGAGAATTACATTGAGTACGTTTCTGTCCTCTTGTGTAGTCTTTGATGAGTAAGAAGGTCTGAGCTATAACTAAAGCCATTGCCATGCTCACAACATGTATATTGCACCTCCTCTGCATGTGTTCTCTGGTGAGCAAGAAGATATGAGTTACGACTGAAGCCCTTCCCACATTCTTTACACTTATAGGGCTTCTCTCCTGTGTGGACTCTGAGATGCACATGAAGATCTGAATTCCGACTGAAGCCCTTACCACACTCATCACATTTATACGGTTTCTCTCTGGTGTGGTCTCTTTGATGTAAGTGAAAATATGAACTATAACTGAAGCCTTTACCGCACACTTCACATTTGTAAGGCTTTTCTCCCGTGTGAACCCTCTGATGAGTGTGAAGAACTGAACTGTATGCAAAAGCCTTTCCGCACACGTTGCATCTATAGGGCTTCTCCCCTGTGTGGACTCTCTGGTGAATGTGGAGGTGTGTGCTTTGGCTGAAGCCTTTTCCACACTCACCGCACCTGTAAGGCTTCTCCCCTGTGTGCAGCCTCCGGTGGACTTGAAGAACAGAGCTTGAACTGAAGCATTTGCCACACTCACTGCATTTGTAGGGCTTCTCTCCAGTGTGGACTCTCTGGTGGACAAGAAGATTGGAGCTCTGATCAAAGCCCTTCCCACACTCCTCACATTTATAGGGCTTTTTCCCTGTGTGGACTCCCTGATGAATACAAAGAAGTGACCTAAATCCGAACCCCTTCCCACACACATCACATCTATAGGGCATCTCCCCTGTGTGGACCCGGTGATGGTTGTGAAGAGAGGAGTTACGCCTGAAGACCTTGCCACATTCGAGACATTTATAGGGTTTGTCTTCCAAGGGGACCTTTGGATATCTCGGAAGGTCTGGGCTCTGCTTGCAGCCCTCTGCCCACTCTTGATATTCATAAGCTTTGTCATCTGAATGAGTTTTATAATGAACAATAAGATCTGAGCTCTGACTAAAGTCCTTTCCACACTGGTCACATCTACAAGACTTTTCTATGTGAGCGCTGTGATGAACAGGAGGGTCTGCACCATCTATGAAGCCCACATCATAGTTATTACGTTTGACAGGTTGTGGCACCACAAGGACCACGTTATGTTGTTTGGCTGTTGATTTCATAGCCAAGTGTTTCCCATAGTCAGTGTAGCTACAAGGTTCCTCTTCTTTACATTCTTGGGAATCACCATGATCATATGATGTCTGACTGATGCTGTCATCACACTGAGCACATCCATACAGTTTCTCTTCCACATGCATTCTCTCATATTGTCCTTGAGAATTCTGGGGCTCAGTCATCATGTTGGCTCCCTTCCAAGATTCTGGGGTAAAGACTTGTGTCAGGCCTTTCCCTTCTGTGCCATCTTGATTTTCTAAATTAATGGCATTTATTACATAGTTTTCATTTTCAGAAATCTGAAGAGACACTCCTGCCCACTCTTCACAGAGAGAAACATCTCCTTCTAAATATTGGGGATAATTTCCTTGAAGATTCATGACATACTCCTGACTCACAGTTAATTCACTGATCCTTTGTTTCCAAATCTGCCAGCAGTAGAGCACCTTTTGAGAGAGATAACTCAACCCTTTCCCCTGAAGATGTGAAATGTTGTTTTTAATCCTGTCTCCTATGAGGAGAAAGAGAATTTGGCTAAGAGAACAAGTAAGTCATCCCTCCAGAGGTATTGAGAAATGAAGTAGGATGTGGTGGGAAGCTGTCACTGGTTCCTATTGATATGGAAACAATCAGAAGCACAGTACTTTTAATCTATGAGCTGCCAATTAAAAATCAGATGTTGCAGAGAAATCAAAAGAAATCCTGGGAACAATTTATAAAGAAAGAAATTCACCTCCCTCCCATAAGAGCAGCTGATAAAACACCTTTAATCATTTTGCTACAAAAGGAATGGAGAAGGGGTGCTTGGCTGGCTCAGTCGGTTAAGGATCCAACTCTTGATTTCAGCTCAGGTCATGATCTCAGGGGCGTGAGATCGACCTCACGTGGGGCTCCATGCTGAGTATGAAACCTGCTTGGGATTCTCCCTCTTGTTCTCCCTCTGCCCCTCCTCCCACTCGCACACTTTCTCTCAAAGCAAAAAAAAAAAAAAAAAAAACCTATGGGGAAGACTCCCATAAGATTTATGGTGTCTGTGTGTGTACAACACAATAATTGGAATGCTGGACATGGTGACAGCACAAAGGATCACAAAGACCTTCCAAGATACCATATAGTGTTGCAGAAACAAGCAACAAATCTTGTCTTTTGCTAATGTCCCTTCCTTCACATGACTGTCACACGAGGTAGGATTATCATGTATGTTTCTCTACAGCCTGCCCAACTGTATGTGGTCAACTTAAAACAGCAATGGGGACTGATATAGGGATGATATTGTGAAATATGGTCCTGAGGTTGGTGGGGGAGGTACATGTACACCTTTGAGGCAGGCTTAAAGAGACATCCTTTCCTCTGACGTTCTCTGGATTCCACGAAGAGATAAAGTCCACCAAGGTCCTATAATCCATCCAGTGACTTTTTTCTTTTTTTTTTTTAATAAGTAATCTCTACTCCCAATGTGGGGCTTGAGCTCATGACCTTCAGATCAAGAGTCACATGCTCTAAGATCCTGTAATCCATTTCCCTAACATCTCCTCTTTAATTAATTGCAGAATTTCAAATAGCCATGACTATGAGAATGAGCAATGTGAATGACCTGGCCCCACAGAAGCAAGATTGTACCAAAGGGTCATAAAACATAAGGAGATGAGGTAGAAGAGGATAGTCAACACTTGGCACCCTAAAATGGGCTTCAGAATGCCATGAACACTATGGTCAAGACCATCTGGACACAGCTTCTGGTTCAAGGTAGTTTCTGAGTCATTTTATTGAGAGTGACGTTAGTGTGTGAGGTGGTGTCAGAGAAAGGGGGACTTGGAGCTACCCACAAGAGGCCTAAAGGAGCAGTTTTCCAGTTGTTTCAATTGTATCCCTAGTAAGAAAAGCATTTGCACTGTGACCCAGTATGCACAAATAGACACTGTTAAATAAAAGTTTTACAAGCTGATACTTACCTTACTAGGTGCAATGTACTCTGATAAATTCTTTTGTGTTCTGGTCCATTAATCTATCTTGCTTTTTAAAAACTGATTATGATAGAGTAACTTGATTTCAGAATGGAAATTCTGAAACTGACTCACGGACAGTGTTGAATCCTGCAGACTAGCCATATGTCTATAATCTATAGACATAGTGGTACTTAGTTTCACATGGTTATTAAAAGGTCTTGGGGTGCCTGGGTGGCTCAGTTGGCTAAGTGTCTGACTCTTGATTTCGGTTCAGGTCATGATCTCAGGGTTGTGAGATCGAGCTCCACATTGGGCTCCACACTGAGCTATGGAGACTGCTTAAGTTTCTCTCCCTCTCTCTCTGCTCCCCCGCCCCCTCCACTCACATGTGCAAGCATGAACGCTTTCTCTCTCCCTAAAAAAAACAAACGAAAAAACAGAACACAGGGTGTACAGCCAGATAAGGGTTCACATCATATTTCTTATATGCTGTGTGACCACAGGCAAGTTACTTAACTATTCTGTGCCTCAGTTGTTTCCTTTGTAAAAGAAGGAATAGCAACTATCTCATAGACTAAACCAAGGTAATGCATATCTATACGTGAGCCTCTGAGAAATTAAAACTATATATTTATCAGTAAGAAAGCAAATAAGCTGACACTTATACCACACTCACCGTACACCAGATCCTGGTTTAGTTCCTTTAACACTAGTTTGCCCAAAACACTGGTTTTTCTCCAGAAGCAACCAAGGGACCAAGGCCCGTGGTAGTGTGTGAACTTTATCAACCTCGCTTTGGGAAACATGAGAGCAGATGACAGCCTAAAATGAGAGGAGGCCAGGGTGGTCTCACTAACTGTATTGGAGGTCCATGGGCCAGGGGGTGTAAGATGTGAGGGGTGTCCTCACCAACACTTCACAGGAGGTCACTCACTCATGTCAATCTGTTAAAACTCACTAACTTCAGGGGTCTCCTTGGCATGTGCGTGTCTCAGGTATTCTCACCGGTGGCCAAAGTTTCTCTTTGTGCTCCAACTGGAATATTCTATCTGGCTTGAAACTGATTATTCGAGGAAACAGGACAGAGGCTTGTTGTCCTCACCCACTGAAACAAGGTTCCTGAAGTTCTCCAGCATCACGTCCTGGTACAGGTTTATCTGGGCCTTGTCCAGTAGAGCCAGCTCTTCCTCCGTGAAGACCACCACCACATCCTTGAAGGTCACAGCTTCCTGAAACATCAAGCACACGCCACATGGATCATCCACAGATGACTACGGGCAGAAGAGCACAGCTGGAAGCTTTGCGGGTCATTAGGTTGCTGTCTTTCTGCTCCAAGCCCTCCAGTTTAAACCACACTTTGCAATGCTGGAATCATGGCTCTGCAAATCACACTTTGAATCTGAGAACTGGCTCTGTGCGAGGCTCTGCCACTAAGGGGCACAAGAAGGATTCTGCAAGGTTGGGGGAGAAAGAAAGGACTTACTTGTTCCTGGCCTGTCTGCCTCCTGTTCTGGTATCACCTCTGCAATGCTATGTTCCGCTGGTAGCAGTAGCAGTCCCTTTGCCTAGCGATATCTGAAGTCTGGGTCCCTGACCCCTAGGCTTCTTGACTGAGCTCAGAGACACCAGCCGGCCAGCACCCCCACCCCTTCACAGTTCTGCATTTCAGCTCCACGAGGCCCCTCTTCTAAGTTTCCAAGTTCCCATAATTTAATCTGTCTCTTTGGTTCCCTCAACCAGGTTGTTAGTTACTTCCCATAGTTGGTACTTCCATGATACTGTAGAGTTCTCTCTTTACCCCTCAGTTACCTGGCTCACAACTCTAAACCTAGTCAACAATTCTGTTGAATTCTTCCTGTTCAAACAGCCAGCGTCCTTTTTGTGTCTTGAACAGACCCTTACTAGTGCAAAAGAAATGAGAAACATAGAAGAAATTCAAAGTTTTGGGTAGGCCAAGTTTCTCTTCTTTTGTCCGCATTGCCTGTGTCCCCATTAACTGTCCACAGTTGCACAATGTTGCAGTAAACATCCATGAACATCTGTCTTTGAGTACTTATAAGACCATTTCCATAGAATTCCTAGACCAGAGACTACTGAATTAGTTGGGTATGCATATTTTACATTTTGACTGATATTGTCCAAATTATCCTCCAAAAAGGCTGTGCTGATATACTGCCTAATAGTGTCTGGGTGTTCATTCTCTATCATACATCAAGACTTGAGATTTTATTTTCTCTGTCATGGCAGATTAATCTATTTCTATTGGACTAAGCAGACAAGGCAACTAAAAGCATTGGCTGCCAGATTAAAAAAAAAAGTAAAAAGGAAATTATTGGAACATGTGGGAGCTTTTGGGTATCAATTAAGTATTTAAAAAAAACAGTAGAATCGGTAGTGGAATTACTGGCTCATATGGTAATTCTATTTTTAATTTTTTGAGGAACCTCCATACTGTTTTCCATAGTGGCTGCACCAATTTTCACTCCCACCACCAGTGCACAAGGGTTCTTTTTTTCTCCGCATCCTGGCCAACACTTGTTATTTCTTGTGTTTTTTTATTTTAGCCATTCTGATAGGTATAAGACGATATCTCATTATGTTTTTTTTCTAGTTTTATTTTTATTTTTTAAAAGATTTTATTTATTTATTAGAGAGAGAATGAGAGACAGAGAGCACGAGAGGGAAGAGGGTCAGAGGGAGAAGCAGACTCCCTGCTGAGCAGGGAGCCCGACGTGGGACTCAATCCCAGGACTCTAGGATCATGACCTGAGCCGAAGGCAGTCGCTTAACCAACTGAGCCACCCAGGCGCCCCTCATTGTGTGTTTTTTTTTTTAAGATTTTATTTATTTACTTGGGAGAGAGAGAGAATGAGAGAGACAGCACAAGTGAGGGAAAGGGCAGAAGGGCAGAGGGGCAGGAGAAGCAGACTCCCTTCTGAGCAAGGAGCCCGACCCAGGGCTCCATTCCAGGATCCTAGGATCATGACCTGAGTTGAAGGCAGACGCTTAACCAACTGAGCCACCCATGCACTTCATCGTTGTGGTTTTGATTTGCATTTTCCTGATGACAAGTGATGTTGAGCATCTTTTCATGTGCTTGTTGGCCATCTGTATGTCTTCTTTGGAAAAATGTCTATTCGTGTACTCTGTTCATTTTTAAATTGGATTATTTGGTATTTTTTGGTGTTGAGTTGTGTAAGTTCTTTATACATTTTGGATATTAACCCCTTATCAGAGATAGCATTTGCAAATATCTTCTCCCATCCAGTAAATTGTCTTTGTTTTGTTGCTGCTTTCCTTCTCGGGGCAAAAGCTTTCTATTTTGGTGTAGTCCCAAGAGTTTAATGTTGCTTTTGTTTTCCTTCCCAGAGGTGACATATCCAGAAAAATGTTTCTACCACTAATGTCAAAGAAATAACTGCCTATGTTTTCTTCTAGGAATTTAATGGGTTTCAGGTCTGACATTTAGCTCTTTAATCCATTTTGAGTTTATTTTTATGCATGGTATTTACCCAAAGGAAATGAAAACACTAATTCAGAAAGATATATACACCCCTATGTTCACTGCAACACTGTTTACAATAGCCAAGATATGGAAGCAACACAAGTTCCCATCGATATAGACGAATGGATAAAGAAGATGTGGTATACATATACAATGGAATATTAGTCATAAAAAGGAATGAAATCCTGCCATCTGCAACCACATGGATGGACCTAGAGGGTATAATATTAACTAAGTCACTCAGAGACAGACAAATACCATATTGTTTTCACTCACATGTGGAATTTAAAAAAAAAAACAAATGATTAAAGGGAAAAAAAAAGAGACAAACGAGATTCTTAAATACAGAGAACAAACTGGTGGTTGCCAGAGGGGAGGTGGGTGGGGATGTGAGGAAAACAGATAGAGGGGATTAAGAGTACACTTATCATGATGAGCACCAAGAAAAGTATGGAATTGTTGAATCATTACATCGTACACCTGAAACGAATGTAACACTGTATGTTAATTTTACTTGAATAAAAATATAAATTTCTTGAGTGATGACAGTAATGTGGAAATGTAGGAAAACACCCTTATTCTTAGCAGGTACATACTGAAGTATTTAGGGATGAATAATGATGACTGTGATTTATTCTCAACTGGGTCAGCAAAATGAAATATAGATATTATGTGTGTGTACGTGTATTATGTATATGTGTGTAATTGTTAACAACTTGTGAATCTAGGTGAAGATTAAAATCATACTGCTCTTTCCATTTTTCCATAAATTAAAAAAAATTCAAAATAAAAAATTGAGGGGAGGGTGCCTGGGTGGCTCTGTTGGTTAAGTGACTGCCTTCGGCTCAGGTCATGATCCCAGGGTCCCAGGATTGAGTCCCACATCAGACTCCTTGCTCAGTGGGGAGTCTGCTTCTCACTCTGCCTGCTGCTCCTCCTGCTTGTGTTCTGTCTCTCTGACAAATAAATAAATAAAATCTTTAAAGAAAAATTGAGGGGAAAAGTAATCTAGTATTAATAGCCATCCTCTGACCAAAAAATAAATTTTTAAATAAAATACTATCACTGCACTTATCACCCTGCCCAGTTACAGAGTCATACCTATGTCCTCTCAATAGCCTCTGTACCTCAAAAATGCTGCCAACCAAAGTTGTGAGTAGTTACAATATATTTCACAAAGAATTTATTACTAGCTATTATTCAATCACCCAAACCTGACAATTATTAAAAACAAAAACTAGTGGGGGCATTATGAACTGCAAGTTTGTGTCCCCCCAAAGTTCATATGTTGAAATCTTAACCCTCAAGGTGATAGTATTAAAAGGTGGGGCCTTGGGGCACCTGTGTGGCTCGGTTGGTTAAGCGACTGCCTTTGGCTCGGGTCATGATCCTGGAGTCCCGGGATCGAGTCCCACATCGGGCTCCCTGCTCGGCAGGGAGTCTGCTCCTCCCTCTGACCCTCTTCCCTCTCATGTTCTCTATCTCTCATTCTCTCTCTCAAAAAAAAAAAAAAAAGGTGGGGCCTTTAGGAGGTAATTAGGTCATGAGAGTAGAGCCTCAGGAATGGGATTAGGGCCCTCATAAAAGATTTCCCAGAGAGCTCACCCCTTCTGCCATGTGAGGACACAGCAAGAAGATGACCACCAATAAATCAGAAAGCGGGCTCTCACCAAACACCAAATCTGCCAGATCCTTGATCTTGGACTTCCTAATCTCCAGAGCTGTGAAAATAAGTTTCAGTTGTTCCTAAACCACCCAGTATATCTTAGAGGCACTGCTTTCCTCAGTGGGAGGTAACAAAATGGAGTTGGAGCGAGTGACCCAGGAAGTACAGATACCCGACAGCCGATGTGGGGCACACACTAGGGAGAAGGGGTTCAGAATGCAGGCTCACCCAGCCTAAGCCCCTTCTCCCTTCTTGGCCTCAACTGTCTGGGAAAACAAAACACCCATTTCCCACCACCCTTTGCAGCTGGGCAGATCGCTTGCTGGGATCCTATGCAGAAACTGCCATATGATGCAGGTACAAGGACAGTCCAAAAATATTAATAAACCAAATTTATAAACTAATATAGATATAATCAAAGATTTTAAAATCTGTTTCTCGACACATAGCACCATCTATGAAGTCCTCTTGTAAAATCTGGAACCTAAATTTATTCAAGCACTCAGTGCTCCCACTTATAGGAAACACTGTAGCCAGAGGAACCCACTGAACGACCCCAAAAAGAGGCATTTTTGAGATAACCGGGGAAAACTGATTATTGCCAGGGTATTAGATGATACCAAAGAATTACTGATAATCTCAGCCATTTTTTTTTATTTTCCATAGAAATACATACTGAAATATATAGAAGTGTATGGTAAATTAGATTGCCAATTAGCAAAATTCCCTCATGCTCCCCAGTTCCACTCAAGAACCAGCGTGTATTTCTTTGCCCCTGGACTTTGGATTTGGCCATGTGACTTGTTCCAGTTCTAAGCCTGGGCCTTAAGAGGTCCTGCATGTTTCTGCTCGTTTCCGTGCTCTGCCAGCACCCAACACGTCCGTGCTAACCAATACAAAACTGCTACCAAATAAGTATCTCTGGCACTGACTTTGGGACCAAGAGGCAACAGTTGGGGAAACTGTTATCAGAGGATGGAAAAATGGTAGCCTGGGTGATAAAGTGTGAAACATTTGGTAAAACAATTGCTGGCAGTAAGGTAGAAGATGGAAAATGTACCTAATGGGACTCAGTGTGGACTCAGGCAAGATGGTTTCCAGGCAGAGGAAATGAGTGGGAGCTCGTTTATTTTAGCTTGCAGACAAGCTATTCCAAGTAATGAGCTCAAAACAAAACCGATATAAAATGAAATAACATTCTATCTGTGATCTTCTTTTAAAATGCTTTGGGACATCTGATTCTTGGTTTCAGCTCAGGTCATGATCTGCAGGTCATGAGATCAAGCCCCGCATCCAACTCCATGCTCGGCGTGGAATCTGCCTCTCCCTCTTTCCTCTCTCTCTCAAATAAATAAATAAATAAATCTTAAATAAAATAAAATCCTTTGGGAAAGAAAAAAGGAAAGTGAAAAAGAGATAGATTAAGCAGATGTGGCAAAATATTGAACCTGCACTATGGGTACTAAACACAGAGATTCATAGTACTATTTTCTCTTTTTGTGTATTTTCATAATTAAAACATTTTTCATGATTTAAAAAAAATCCTTACTCTACCCTCTGATGGCCTTTTTGATGCATCAGCTTGAGCTAGACTACAGTCCCATTATGGAAGCAAACATTAATCTAGGTGTTGCTGTGAAGATATTTTGTAGATGTGATTAAAGTCCATAATCAGATGACTTGGAGGGAGACTATTTTAAATAATGTGGGTGGGCCTGATCCAATCAGTCGAAGGGCCTCAAGACCAAAACTGAGGCTTCCCTAAGAGAAGAAATTATACTTGTAGACAGTAGCATCAGTCTGTGTCTAAGAGTTCCAGCCTGCCCTAGGACTTCCGATTTGCCCAGCCCCCACTGTCTCATAAAATAAACCTCTTACAAATCTCAATATATAACTCATACTGTTCCTGCTTCACTGGTTGAACCCTGATGGGTACATCCGCACTCAAATCTTGCTACTTACATGTACTGGACCCAGCGCTACTCCAAGTGTGGTCATGTATATACCGACCATGCCCTCAGACGCTGTGGCAATACTACATTTCTATAAGAGTTTCTGAATGCAGGGTGCCTGAGTGGCTCAGTTGGTTAAGCGACCAACTCTTGATTTCGGCTCAGGTCATGATCTCAGGGTTGTGGGATCCAGCCCCACGTCAGGCTCCATGCTCAGCGGGGAGTCTGCTTCTCTCTCTCTCCCTCTCCTTTTGCCCCTCCCCCCACCCACACCCACTTTCTCTCTAAAATAAATAATCTTTTCGAAAAAGAGTTTCTGAACTCTTACTCTTGATTGCTATATTGATCTCTCAGTGACAAGCAGCTCATGGACTGGCACTTGTGTGCAAACCTCATGTGGAGTAGCACTGAACTAGACATCTGGACATCTCGGAGCCTTATTCATTTCTGCAAAGGGAGTGACACCACCAATCTCACGTTACGAGCAAGGCAAAGTGCCTAACACGGAGCCATCCCTCAAAAATGGGTGACCTCCCTTCAGAGAATAGAGGTGTCTAGCTCCTCAGAAAGGACATGGCCTTTAAGAGGGAGAAAGGAAACCTTAACTTACCTGGAATTTAATCATACTGTCTTCCTCTTGGAAGGAGCAGGAGCCTGAGAAAGTAGAACTGCAAAGAAAGAATCCATGAGAGCATGGGTTTGACAAGCTGTGAGTGAATCCTGGTTTCTCCTTATCTGTACAATTTTCTCACACATTCTTCTCTCCCGAGATATCTTTACCTCTCTTCTTATTCCCAACAGACTCCATCCCATCTCCTCAAGCCTTGTCCCCTGCCCCCATCCCACCCGGATTCCTGTATAACTCCTGTATCACTCCCCAATCTTTTGGGTCCAAACTGCCACACTTTTTCTTTTTCTCAGACTTGTGAATGTATTGGCATCGCTTATATCCTAGTTACTCTGGAAAAGAGGCTCCAGAGTTTTTTTTTTTTTTAATTTTAATTTTTTAAAGATTTTATTTTTATTTATTTGACAGAGAGAGTGCGAGAGAGGGAACACAAGCAGGGGGAGTGGGAGAGGGAGAAGCAGGCCTCCCGCTGAGCAGAGAGCCTGATGTGCGGCTTGATCCCGCACAGACACTTAACGACTGAGCCACCCAGGCGCCCCTGATTTTTATTTTAATTCCAGTTAGTTAATATACTGTGTTATATTAGTTTCATGTACACAATATAGTGATTCAACACTTCTATACATCACCCTGTGCTCATCAGGACAAGTGCACCCCTTAATCCGACTTGGACAGGGATCTCAGGGTGATGGGGGGCCCTCCCTCTGAGTCCACTTTTGCATGTGAGACTTGCTCTGAAGAACTTTCAGTTAGCTCAGATCTTAACTCTCGGCTTCCAAAATGATCTCTCTCCAGCCCTTGTTCTATCCTCTGGGGCCCCATGACTCTTGCAAATATTTGATGATATACCTATGACATGAAAGGCACATGCTCTCTGCTCTGGAAAAGCTCACAGGCTCCTGAACTAGAAACTCTCTAGGACCGCAGGTGGACCAAAGCCATGGGAACTTAGGACTCCACATCCACTCAACTCTCTTCTCCGTCCTGCCTGTTATCAGGGAATCCCCTTGCCCTCCAGCTTCCAATTGAGTTCAGCCAAGAGAGAAAGTCACCAGGAGAAGGGACAGAAGTGAAGTCGGAGTATTTATTCCCCTAGCTCTTTCCCTGGGAGTTGCTTTGGACTGGCTCTGTTTCATGTCCCTTGACCGAAGGTCACAGCGCCTGTTGGTGGCCCTGGTCTCAAATCTTTCCCCTGATCTGCAAACTGCTTCCTCCCTTAGCCCTTCCATCCTAGGCGGAGTAAGTTACCCTGCTATGACCAGATCTGGGAAATTGCAATATCCTTTCTTGATGACCACACCCTGCCTGCATTTTTGGAAACTGTCCCTTTATTTTAAGCTCTCCTCAAGTTATCATTTTGACTCTGGTGTTTATTTCCTGTCTGATAAACTCTGCCTCTGACCTTTCAGAAGAAATTTAGTGTATAAAATTTCTGCTTTAGGACTGTGGGAACCTCAAAGATTAAAAGATAAAAACCAAAAACCAGGTCTCTGTTCTCCCCGATAATGCTCTCTTAAAACTACCTGTGGTGAAGGACCAGTTTCATATTCTTTTCCCCATTATTTTCGATCTATCACCGACTAATATTTTGGTAAAATACAGTTTAGAAGAAATTTCTAGAGAAAGGAAATAGAGAGGCATACAAATTACAGGCCCATTTAAAAATTATCAGATTAATCAATTATCACACAATTACTGAAACTGCTATACCAATTTTTAAATGTTTCCACTCAATTTCTGAAATTATCTGGTCATAGAGCAGGTAGCTCTCCAACCGGCACCCGTTTGCTGGCCACCCCTTGAGTGGCATGTTCTAGCAGCTTACAGGGTGACAGAATTGGGTTAATAGAATATGAAATGACTCCTGGCAAACCCTCACTCTTTCCCCTCCCCTTCCCTGCCTTTAGCAGAAAGCCTTAATCACCCTTATTCTGGGCTCCAACAAAGATTTGCTAAACCTCTTAGTACGGGGCCAATCACATAGTTTTATAATCGTTAAAACCTACTGAGGAACATTTCTCCCTAACCTTGTCCAAAAAAAAACCAATAAATCCCAAAGATATAACCAAGCCTTCATCCTTTATCTGCTGTACCCGGTAAAGATCCTGCCGTTTATCAAGCACTCAGTGTTTGAGATTAACAAACACATAAATAGAATCAGCTCTGATACACTAGATGCTCTTGCAAAGAGACAAGCACACCAGGCTCTCTGCTTCCAGAAATCTGTTCTCTCCTAACAGCCAACAATGGGTCAGCTTGATTTACGTGCACACACGTACACACACGCACCCACACACATGTGGGAGGGAGTTTGGCTTCCCAGATTTCTGGTTTCAAGCCCTCCCTGCCTTTATAAAGTTGGGGCCCTGGCAGGAACCAGACGGCACATTCAAATTTGAGGCGGAAAGTTAATAAATAGACTACTTACAGGGGTGTAGGCTGGGCGTAAGGAAGCCATGGGGGAGAAGGCACTAGGCTGGGGAGTGACAGGCAGGTGCCATTACTACATCTGAGCCTCCTAGGTAATAGGAGGGCGATTCCTGGGCCTGGAACAGAGTGTGCAAAAGGTCCCTGATGGGAACTGTAACTCTTTGTTGAGAAGTGCGGCCAGCCTACAGAGAATTGGGGGGACCACATACTCCAACTCACTCTTTTCTCTCCCTCTCTCTCCAAACTCTCCTGTTGTGACTTCCCACTGGCCGAGGACAACCAGGCCAGAGGGCAGTGGCGGGGTCTCAGGGCAGATGGCAGGGTGGAAAGGTGAAGTGGATCTGGAGGTGGGGAACGGAGAGAATGTGGCACATTATGCGCCAAGACCCTTGTTTTTCCCCCACCTGCCCAAGCGCACAGAGCTCTCTCCCACAAATGCTCCTCTCGCTCACTTGATCCAATCATCACCCTGATCTGAGTCACTGCAGCAGGACAGAGACCAGGTGCCCACAGCCACCTCTTGAGGGGAAGAGGACCCAAGGGGAAAGCAGCAGTTGAATCTGGAACTGCAACTGCCCACAAACACAATCGGAAATATAAGCCCCAAGTTCTCCCCAAAATCCTGCTTCCAGATTCCTAGCTCTTTTTCTCAGTATTTCTAGAGGATTCAGGACTGAGGAGAGAGACTAGCCTGAACTCTTCTGGATGTACCTAGCAATCACCTGGGGAAAAGGATAAAGACCATTTCTTCCATGTGTGTGAGAGTAAATGTCATGTGATGATGACGAAGGTGTATATCTGTGATCTGTGAGCATCTGAGCCAAAGGACTCTATGAGATCTAACTTCAGCCCTAAGGGCCGTGGCAGGACTGCAGGGAGGGATGTCTCTAGTCCATGCCAATTTGCCTTTGGACTGAGTAGAAAAATGCATCCCTTCCTCAGGATGCTTTTCTCCCACCTGTTGGAGAATTATTATAATATACTGCTTCTGTTAGAACAAAGAAACAAAGCACTTTTACAGCTACTAACTGGAAAACTGTGTGTGTTCTATGAGAATGGCACAGTTTCAGTGTGGTCTCCTTGTGCAGAACCCAACTTACACAAATGTGCACAGCAGTCATACCCTCAGAAAGCCCGTCCAAAAACCTAAGACTAGGGGTGCCTGGGTGGCTCAGTTGAGCGTCCAACTCTTGGTTTCAGCTCAGGTTATGATCTCATGGGTCGTGGGATTGAGCCCCATGTGAGGCTCCTCACTGACTGGGGAGTCTGCTTGAAGATTCTCTCCTTCTTGCCCCTTCCCCCCCACAGAAATAAATCTTTAAAAAAATCTAAGGGGCATCTGGGTGGCGCAGTCAGTTAAATATCCAACTCTTGGTTTCAGCTCAGGGTCCTGGGATCAAGCCCCACATGGGGCTCCACACTCAGAGGGGAGTCCACTTGGGACTCTCTCTCTCCCTCTGCCCCTCCCCACCCCCACATGCTCTCTCAAATAAATAAATCTTTAAAAAATAAACAAAACCTAAGACTGGTGAGATGTGGCTGGGTGAACATGACAAAGCCTATCACTGGCTAGTCCAAGTGACTACGAAGTATAGGACTACAGAAGGGCTTTTCTAATGACCTTCCCAAATCCCCTGCCCATGGGAATCATTCTTCTTCTGTCAGACCACAGGATCTTATACCAACATCCACTATAACTTTCCACATTGTACGGAAAGTTTTCTGGTTGCTTTTTGCTTTCGCTCCTGTAGCGTGTGCTCTTGATGAATGGAAATTATACTATTCATATACATGTGGAAAGTTTAGCGCATGCAATAGGTGCCAAATGAATGAATGAAGTCTGGGCCTTTGCCAGACTTAATTCTCTGACTGAAAACATCAGATCATGAGATCAAAAGTGCAAGGAAAACTGATCATACATGACCCACACATTCCATGCTGACTCTAAGAAAAGGCAGCAGAGCCTAGCTGTTAAGAAAAGGCGGTGGGGGGGGCCTGGGGGGCTCAGTCAGTTGGTAGCATCTGCCTTTGGCTCAGGTCACGATCGCAGGGTCCTGGAATGGAGCCCCGCACTGGGCTCCTTCCCCTCTGCCCCTCTCCCCCTTTTGCGTGCTTTCTCTCTCTCTTTCTTTTTCACTCTCTATCTCAAATAAATAAATAAAATCTTTTAAAAAAGTAGACTCTGAAACAAAACCACCTGGACCTGAGGCCTGGCTTCATCATCTGTGTGCCCTTGGGCAAACTATCTCCTGGTGCCTCAGTTCCTTCCTGTATACAAGACAGGATGTTGAGAGAATCTGTTTCTCAGTGTCATGTGGGAACTCGGTAAGTCATTACATGGGAAGTGCTCGGAGCAGTGCCTAGCATACAACGACCAGTCAAAACGTGTTGGCTCTCGTGTACTGGGCTGCCTGCTAAGTGTTCCATATGTCAAAGTAAAATTCAGTCCCTGATCTCAAGGTGGGCAAACTTAGGGGGCAGAGAGGCGAGCAAATAAATTCACTGGAACGTGAGAAGGACTGCAACAGACATTCCACAAAACCGAACAAAGACCCAGGAAATAGGAACGCAGCACACCCCGGGAGGGGCCCAGGCTCTCAGGCAAGGCTT